CTGGGATCGTGTGAGTTGTTCCCCACCTAAAGGAAGAAAGCACAATTATTCCTGTCCTTAATAGCTCCACAAAAGGACAATTTTAAGTTGCATTTAGGATTTGAGTCTCATCTAGTAGAGGTTGTTAAGGGATAGGTACTGCACTGACTTTAGTTAGTCTATAAGGTACAACTCTACCCTGCCTTCTGTCTGACTTTAGACTACCATGGCTAATTACTTCTCCTGGTTATTATTACCATTTTTAGGGAAAAGACACTGAAGTGTAGCTCTTCTCTAGTTTAATTAAATGTACCATGTGCTAGTTATGGTACCAGTTAAATGGATTGTGCCATGAGATTTTTTAAATTTAATTTATTTTTGTTACAGTTGCTATATTCAAAGAGACTTAGAGGGGTTTCTTTTGCAGTTGTATTTAATGTCTGATTACAAATATTTTATTTCAATTTACTTTTTCTACACTAAGAATGTAAGTAAACCTTTTTGAAAGCATTGCACCAAAATTGAAATTTTAAACTGCTTATATGTAACATTTAAAACATGTGAGCATGTCTTCCCCTAGCAGTTTGATCCAGTATATATAAGAACTTCTTACTACTTGAACCAACTAATAATGATTCGTTTTGGATCAGGAGCTAATGTAAGGTATTGCTGCCAATGTTCCCTTTTACCAGCCTCCTCTCAGCTGGGTTTGAGCTGTACTTGACAATCTTTCATATGAGGCTGTATAAAGTCCTTACCTCAATAACTGTTACCTCAGTCAATATTTTCTGTAATACTGCTGTGCAAGGGAAAGTGCATAAATTTAATTTTGATCTCACAGTATTTACTTTAGGTGACTAGATTGGCACTCAAGTCAGTTACAAAAGCTGGCCACATTTCTGAGTGCTAAGCACTGTTTTAAATTCAAATTAACGAACTTGATTCTTTCATTTAATCTATCATGGCTGATTATGACGTTAACAACAAAAAGTCATTACTTCTTTTTTTGTATTCATGTGTGATACATACTAAAAATCCATTCAAATCAAGGTTGATGCTATGAGTGTTCAGATTTCTTTAAATATGAATTATGTCCACAATGTATGAAAATTGCATATGTATAATAGGTAAAATAAAGTGCATATAAAAGAGTCTGGATTTTAGCATTATCTTTCTTTCATTAGTGTGTTATCTTTCTTCATGTTACTGCATATTTTTTTTTTGTTATTTAACAATTTTAAAACAAGACCATGTACTGACATTACACTTTTACCAGTATAAGTGATCAGAAAGTGGTCTATATCTGTAACAGGACAGAGGTTTGGCACACATAGGGTGCCAAAAATGTTTAGGAGCCTGCTCTAACTCATAGCACTTTACACACAGCATCATGAGAGCCTCCAGCCTCCTCCCTCCCTAGCAGATATTTGCCTGTTGGGTTGGAGGCATTTGAGCCTGCATGCACTAGCCATGGATAGCAGGTGGAGCTATTCCTGCAGACATACCCCCACCAGCTCCTGAGCTGTCAGCAGGGGTTGGGGGGAGGGAGTGATGGAGCAGCAGGCAACTGCCAGCTGGGCTTCACCTGGCTAAAGCCTGTTCCTCTCCCCCCCCCCCCCCCCCCCCCCCCCGCCCCGGCGCGTTAGACCCTGTCCCCCCCCCCCCCCCCCCCCCCAGCTAGCCCGGCTGGGGCGTGGGGGGAGGCAGGCCAGGTATATGAGGCAAGGGGAGGCTCCCTTACCCCACCCCACCCCACCCCACACCTAGGCCTCTTGAGAGCACCAACATTCCCTTCCCTTCCCCCTCCCTATGTTTTGAATCAGGTCTGTAGAGCACTTTCAGGGGCTCTATTGCATGAAAAATATAACTTGTGTAAGTAACCGTAAACTGGTTTAAAAATGGTGAACCTAGTCTAATATTTGCCACCAAAATGGCAAATGTGTGTTTTGTTTGTTACCAATCCAAACTATGCTGCCTACAGAAAGCCACACAACTTAGAAAGATTCTGCCTATGGCTTTCTGAATGTCTGTACCTAACCTATGTCTGTACAAAGTTAAGAGAGGTGATAGACTGTTGGCCAGATCCTCATCTATATTATGTCCCTTTTGTAGCCCATAAGAAATGTAAAAGGCCATAACATGGTTGCAAATGGCCAACTAATATTTCCTTTGCTACTTTTCTCACTGCCAGATTCTCCACCATCAGCCCCTTTTCATTAAATAGGATAATTTCAAAGTAGTGCTATAGTGCAGAGTTCTGTTATGCCAGCCCTTTCCTACGGTACTCTCTACACCAATTGATGGTCTGGCAAAAGAAGGTAATCTAGCTGTATAATTCTAATGTCTATCATGGAAAAATATATTATTTTTTTCCTCCTAAAAGTGTAGTTTTTTGAATGTGTGTCATTAAAACATCCTCAGAATAATTATCTTTACATAATGGTTTCTTTTCTAAATGAAGTCATAAAAAGCAAAAATGTCTAAAATAATAATTTAAAAATGTATCTTCTGTGTATCTGTTATAAATAACTATTTTGCTTTTCAAATCAGAAATGAAAAACTATCTTTTTTTTAAAATGGAAAGAAAATACTCCAGCTTGGAGATGTTTTAAGCCATAGAGAACATTTATATGGGATTATATGCTGAAGCACGTTCAAAAAGTAAATTGTGGAATGGTTGCACTATTTAGTATGGTAAATAATTGAGTTATAAACCACTGTGAGTTAGAAGGAAGGGTCAAAAACCCTTTGCTACCAGCCTGAATGATCTTGCCAGACTAATAATCTTGGAAATAGTAACAGAATGATGTTATGATTTTTTTTCAGACAAAGTGCAAACATTTAATAACCACTGTCCAAAGCCTCTACAACATTAACCTGTTTTAATGTTGTGCTTTGTTGGAGCTTATGGGAGTCCAAATTAAAAGTCTCAGAAACAACATTGTTTATCTTTTAAGTGGTTATACATAGTAATACTTAACGAAAATACTCACCTAGAGTTGGCTATTGGAAATGTGCTTCACAAGGAGTTTTTGTAACCATTTTCTTCAGTCTTGTTTTACATGATTTCATAACTAGTGTTATTTTGAGTTCCAGGATTGAAATAATAATATTAATAATAACAATAAGTTAATGAAGCTCAGTCAAAGTTGCCAGCTTTCACATCAAAGCCATGTAAAGCTTTTATAAACTGTAAGTCAAGCCAGGCTCGCTCAACACTGGGCCCAGGTTCACTCTAGAAGCAACTGTGAACCCTCAAAAACTTCTTGAAAAATCTGGCTGACTTTCAAGTTGGTAATGAAACCTGAAATCATACAGGCTTCCCATGCTCTTGAGTTTCCTTAAGAATATTTTACCCAACTTTCACTCAGTTTCTTTTGTGGCTGCTTTTAAATATATATATATTTTAACAGGGCAATATGGCTTGATACTTCAAATAATAATTACCAGATATAATGTTTGTTAGATACAATGTAAGCAGTGAGAAATAGCCCCACTGACATTAACTCACAGTAGAAAATAATACAAATAGAAGCAAGGATCAGATGCATAATATTTATGCGGAGAGCCACTGGAAAAGATGCCGGAACATAGGCTAAAGTCCTGGCTTTAGCAGATGATGTGGACTTAGGTGAACCCGTCTTCTTCTTTGACACTTTTTTCCTATCATTGTATAGTGCTTGAGTTCTGTGGATGACAACAGTAAAAAATAATGCTAATGATTCTTTCTTACTGATGGATAAAACTAGGTTAGGTCTCATTTTATGTTCAGTATAGCTGATTATTATTGGACACTGTTGCATAGTGGTGGATAGTTTCCCAATAAGTTTAGCATCCGTTTAGATGCACAAGTTAGTTTTCAAAGGCAATGTGCATATAATATAGTGCACTATTAAATACACATTCTTTAATACCCTTGAGGGCAGCAGAGGAGTGGTAAACTGAATGAAAAGTGAGAATATGTTTTAGATTTTTTTTCACTCTTTTTCCAATTTGTGGAGATTTAGTATGACTGGAATTCATCTGCATCTCAGGACAGTGCACAGCCTCTTAGGACCCTCTTACACCCTTGAAATAGATCTTGAAAATATATCTGAAGATCACAGCACTCATGCTTTGAATGGATGTAAGCAAAATTAATTTACAGGATTCAAGATGGCATTTTAGTTTGCCACGGTGATTTTTTGTTAGCCCTGTACAAACGGATGTATTTAATCTGTGTTCCCAAGTGCATATAGCAGTTCATCAGAGAGGTAAAATGTAAGCCACAATGTGTTATGGTTTTGAAGATCATCTGTGTCGAAGCTCCTGTATAAATAAGATAAAGTGGTAATGAAAGTCTAAATTTTCTCTTGATCATAATTCTATTGTCGTTGTTGTATTTCTATCAAAATAACACACTTTTAACAAGATTAGCAAATACGGCTCAATGTTTTGAATTCTCAGTTAGCATAAAGTGAGAGATCTCTTTGACTGGGATAGTATAACTGTGAGAATGAGACCACATAATATCTATGCATTAATAGTGGATGTTATACATGCAGTAATTTGGTTCATTACTGTTTGCTTAGGGATATATTTCATATTGGCTTATTGTAGCAGTTAGATATTTGTAGGGACTTTTGCTTATAGTTTCCAAACAAAAAATATTTGGTAGGTGAGGCATGATATGGAGGTCATTCCTCAGTTACTGAAATATTTTTGTGGACCATTAGAGCCTCACATTTGTGCCTTTCAAGGGGCATTCCAAGGCTTATTTCCATACACCATTTCTATGAGCGTGTTTTGGTTATTTGTGTTAATTGTGCAAAAGTCTATAAATTAATTTTGAGTGAATTCTTTATAAAATGTGGGCATGTTCTAATTCACATTTAATTTAGCACTGATATACATAGGACTATAGTCGCATGTAAATGAAAAAATCAATAACATATTGAATATCTGTACTGATTAACATTATGGCCTAAGGAACTTGTGAAATATTTCTCTTGTAGCCAACACTTTTCCTTTCTTTTCTACAGCTAAAATTGACCAAGATGATGAAGAGAAGTCACTGGCAGAAGCACATAAAAGGTGAGATGACCTAACACTATAAAACTTGTCATTTGTAAAATGTGTTTTGTAAACTGTATTTCAAGCTAACATTAACATTTTCTGGCTAACAAAAGAATGTATTCAATTAACTTAAGTGATATGTACTTGATCTTGGCTTTATTTTGAACAATACTATAGAAAATCAAAGCAATTTATGCATACAGTGTGCTTGCAAAAACCGTTAGAATAACTAGAAAAGTTGTGTACGCGTCCTGAAAAAACAGACATGCTCCGTTTGAAAAAGAAAGAAAAAGAAGCAACCAGTGGGTTGTGAGTGAGCTGTTGCTTTGCTCAAAATCTTGAGTGATTTGATAGAAACACAATACACTCCTCCAATCCATTATTAATTAAATATTGACTTCTGCATTTTGTAAAATGGCTACTTTATAAAGAATGGAGATTTTAAAATATATATGTTTAAAGAATGTGTATGTGGCTTCCACTGTAAGAAATTTACTTAATCTTTAGACATTTTTTGTGATAAAAACAAAACACCTTAAGTACCTTGCATTTCACTAAAGATGTGAGCAGCTGAGACAGGTTTCAAACTTGGGAAAATTCCCCAATTTGCTATATTGCATAACTTATGTTGTTTCCTTTTTGGGGGGAGGGAGGTGGCATTCTCTGAAGTCAGTGTTAACTGGACAAAGGATTATTTTTATCAGGCACAACAAAGGCAAGTCAGGGACCAAAATAAATATACATATGGGGGGGGGGCGGTGAGGAGAAACAAAAAACATCATTTGTACACCAGATCCTCTGATGACAATGAATGTTTTCCTCTTTTTATTATGGCATGGTTATTACTCTTTTTGCATGGTGTTAATAGGTATAATTGGGAACTTCTTTTTAGGGGCAGGCGTAGAGGTTAAATATGTCTTTTTGCAGACTTGGCTAGTACATCTTTTAATTTTAACTTATTATGCCAGGTTTATGTTGATGCAAGGGATCTTGGAATTAGCCCATTTAAGAAGCACTAGAAAGCTTATCCCTTTTATTTCACTTGTTAAAAACAAGGAAGGAGTCTATGGCTATGAATAAGCATTCATTTGTAACAGTACTGAAGTGTCTCTGTACTTTGTAGTACTTTGAACCCACAGAGGAGTTTCATCCGTCAAGCTGGAGACCTACAAAGTCACCTCAAAGATAAACTCTCCAGTCAGGGAACAGCAGGGAGCTGCTCTTTGCATCCCTTCTCCCCCACGGGATCCCTGTCACTGCCAGGCTGCCCTCTCTTCTGTCATAGGACGGAACAGATAATCAATGATCAGTTGATTGTTGCTGAAACCAGTAGGTGCCAAAGAGCACCCCTGCTCCCTCCAGGGTGGATCCCTCCTCTCCCCTGCCATGCCTGTTAGTGACACTGCCAGAGCCCCAGTGGAGCGCAGGCAGTGGGAATTTCCATACCCTAACCTTACCTAACCCTTGGCAATTTGTTTCTGAAATCACACAAGAAGCTAAACTTCAAGCTTGATAACCTTTTGTGACTCAATTCATCCCCTCTCACAGTAAAATCCAGAGTAGGTAGCTCTGGAAAGATTTTTTTTTTTTTTCCTGGATCCCTATCAGCCTGTTCACTCAAGTGATTTGCATCTCCCTTTAGAAGGGGGTTCAGATCTGATCGATTCCCAAGGATGCTGGGGAGTCTGGAATCCGTCCAGAGACTGGACAGGTTCCTGTGGTCTCAGGATGGTTCCTCTCCCTGCTTCTTTTCCAAGATGACTCCCTTAGAGAGCTTCTAAAAGCTCTCTCCCTAATGCTACATTGAATGTCCATTTTGGCTGTGGGGAGAACATCAGTATGACCATCCTTCTGGTCCTTTCTTTGGCTTTGTGTCTCCTTTCCCACTAACCCAATCTCTCCATTGGCTATGCAGAATCTAGATCCTACATAGCAGCCTCCACAAGGATTGTTAGGGAAGGAAATTGTGGTTCTTAAGGCCCCCTGTATGCATGTACTTAAAAAGGATAATCTAGACTTAGTTACCCTTATGTTTTGTAGCGAGGGTATATCTGAGATCCCAAGATCTCATAGATTTTATATTTAAGACTGGATTTGTGCTTGCCACTCACTAGGCAAAGAAAAAGAGATTTTTATTTTTCTCTTTTTTTATAAATTTCCACCGGTGAATTCTTTAATTCTGCAGGATAAAAGCATTTTCTATGATTGTGAATGCTAATCTTTTTTTAATTAAATACATTTAGGATAATTTTATTTAAATATCTTAAAATATAATTCCTGTACGTTAAGCTTTTTTTTTTTTGAGGAGGAGGAGAGCTTAGGCAAACTAAATAAGGGATTAGTTACATTCTGTTAATCATAGGTAAAACAGCAACACATGGGATGAACAGACAAGCAAGGAGTGCAAGAAGAAGTGATGGATTAGATGGAGCAAAATTAATGTGATTAGTGTGCTTGGATTTTTCTTTTTGAAGTGGTTAATTTCAGCCTATGTACATTGTATGGTCTACCATGTGATAGCAAGAAATACAGACCCTTCTTTTCTGTAGCATAGAGTGTTAAAAAAGAAGAATCACACTTCTGCAAAAATATAGAAACTCTAGGTAACTGCCCCTCTAGCAATCTAAAAAAAAAAAAGATGTTTCTAAACTGAATAATGTCATTGAGACAATGTAGCAATATGTATTTCTGAAAAGCTCAGTTGTGCAATTGAAGGGCTGAAATGGAAAGTTAATCTTCCACACAAATTAAAGACAAAGAAAATGGAATGTCTGCTCCAGGGACTCCATACAGTGTCTAGCTGTTCATTTGTCACAAGTGAGAAAATGTTTAATCAGTTTTGAAATGATGTATTCTCTCTTTATTTATCGTGTTTAGTGACTTTGAAAGTGTCAGTATGTAAAGTGTTTATCCAAGGAATGGATTTCTGGCACATGGATAAAATGAAATGTGAAATGTTTAGCTCACAATAGGCATATGTTCCAAGATCTCTCTGAGTAAGTATCCTGAGATGAGAAGAAAGCACACAGGTCTGTGTTTATCTAGCTTACGCAGGCAGACAAGGAAGGCTCCAGCCTGGTATTAACACTGAAGTGACATGGAATGTCTTCACCAAACCCCAAACAATTACATCACTCCCTTAACAATATTGATAAAGTGCAATAAAAAGGAACCTGGCACTTTCCAATTAGACCTTCATTGCTAAATACTTGAAATCCTGTCAAATACTTGAAAAGTTAAAGTAGAAACTTCTTTTTTTTTTCTTTTTTTTTTTTTTAAGGGGAAGGGGCAGTGGGGGATAGGAGGAGAAAGGGCAATGGGAAGGAAAAGGCCATGAGGTATATTTTAAGCTTCTTAAACCTAATACATGTTAAGTAATTTTAAGGAATTTTAGAATAACTTGTATCTCCTTCTGTCCTGTGTCCCCCTAGTTATGTGGCTGAAATACTGAACTTGAACCAGATATTTGTGATTGTAGGCTACATTGGTGAAGTGATCCTCTATTAATATTAGACATTGATTGCCTTGTTTTCACTCAAAATTAAGATATCTCACACTTGCATCCTCTTAATTTGTGGCCATTTGCTTTGCCACATTTGCAAGAAAGTTTGTAATCATGGGGGGGTTTCCCCTCAGACTGGAAAGAAAATGTTTATGGGTTCTGTTGTTTGCCAACGAAACTGAATTTAATGTAATTATAAGGATCAAAAGTTGATCACGCTGCCTACCTCAAAAAGAAATGGAGGTTAAATGCACAATTTTTGAGCCATTCATCACAACAATGCAATTGATATCCCCCGCCCCCCTTCTCAACCCCCTTTTATATCCTTAACAGTAACAGAACAGGCGAACAGCACCTAACATTGTAACTGGTACATGATTAGGTTGATGGTTGGCCGCTGTCTTCTTTTACTTGACTCTTGCCCAAGTTTGTGTGAAGTGGCAAAGACAAGGGTACTGAAAATGGCAGCCTCTAAAGCAGCACCTTGGATTCTCTTCTGGATGGAGTGTCAGTGGCTTCACTGTCTGTCAATGTTTAGTTTATACCCCTCTTATGTACAATTCCAAAGTTTGGGAGTTTAATTTTCTTTAAAAAAAAAAAAAAAGACAATTGTCCAGCTTTCCAAAATCCATGCCACTAGAAGCTTTAGCAGGAGTGTCTACCATCATAGCTGTCTGCCACGTTAGGATCACTGTACAAGTTCAGCTTAGAGCCTTTAAGTCCAGGGGCATGTTTAGAGTGTGGAAGGCCTCCATTTACTAGTGCTATCTATTTGGCAAACAATGAATCATCTGATTTGAAGTCTGGTACAGTAGCTGGTCTTGTTGGGCTCAGATCTAGGTGAACCATAACAGATTTACACAGAGAATCTGACATCTGCCAAGACCAATTAATTGCATTGAAAATGACTGGGTTTCATTTACATAATCCCTGTAAATATAATGCTTGCAGTAGCATGTGTTCAGTGACCCTATAGATTGCTTCTGTTTAGTAAAGTTTAGCTATTTTATTGTTTTGAATTGAACTGTGAAATGTAGATACAATGAATCTGTTAAACTCAGGGCCCTTTATATGGATTCCTCAAATTTTATAGATTTCATAGACATTAAGGGCTGCAAGGGACTTCGTGAGATGGAGTCCAGCCCCCACACCATAGGCAGGAAGTCAGATAACTGAGGGCTACATAAAACAAGTGCATGTTGCTGCTGATGCCCAGTGAAGGCCAGATAAACATGGCCAGGGTGATACTTTCTGTCCTTTTTACTATTGATTTCATTTGGTAAGATAATTTAGTGTAGTTTACTCCTTATGAAACCTAAATTTGCTGTGTGATGGTAATAACATGTACTTACATTATGAAAAAACAGACAGACGTCTGCATGCTGACAAAATTAGCAGCAGGGGAATCTGGGATGAGTGTAGGTGGATCTGAAATAACCGTCTTCCTATTTTAGGAAGTTTTCGATTTGGTTTGTTTTATTATATGGTGCAGGTATATTTACATTCCAAAGATTGT